TGCTATGCTATGGGACTCCGGTAGAAGTCGAGTGATTGCCTGTCACTCGCCAGATATAGGAAATAAATTACTATATTATTATCACCTACAAAATATAAATGGTGGAAAGGAAAATGGTGACCGGGCAATGATATGGTTTGGGTATTGGTGGGTGTAAGAAGTTGTGTCCTGCGGCCACGGGGCATAGCTTGGTTACACTGCTTTTCCTGTCTGTGTCGGTTAAGGACCTACCATTGCATAAGGCTCTAGGCAAGTCACGGACTTATTATCCTGAGCACATATTTGTGTATGGGCGCTTGGAAGACTTGTTACTCTCTTGTCATGTGTTCTGGCTCTTTTTAGACAGACCGTCAGGGTGGTTTTTTGTTAGAAGGTCCTTGCACCGCACTGAGTCCAGGACTCATGGGCGGGGGCTTGGAGTCCTAGTTTGGACGGGACCTAGACCTCGTGACAGGAGGGTAGTGGGTTGGTCCTGCTTGTGCCCGGGGTACAAGCGGGGTGTGTTTTTCGGGTACCCAGCTGGGGGCATTGATTCATGAATCGCCAGGCGATCCGGTACGGCTTGTCTACGGTTTAGCATCGTAGTAAGAACTGAAAGATAAAAAATGGAAAAAGGAAATCTGATTGCTTACCATCTACTTGAAAGTAGCACAGGTGCTTACATAGAATGGTTGGTTAAGGAACTAATGTGGCTGTTAATAAAAAAATCGAATATAAGGGCGCACGCTTAGTAATGCTTCCTGCAGATGCAATAAACCCACCAGCCAGATATCCTTGCATATCCTTAGAGTCTTTTCTTTCCTCCTGTCGGGTAAGTCTTGCTGAGTACAATTGAGTACTAAGGGTTTTATTTCCCCCTGTTGCAGGTGACAGGTGGAGGCTAGAGCTGACCTTTGTGTGTGGATTCCTCCTGGTGGGCTCAGAGAGGATTTCCTTTATGTTGCGATCATAATTTTTAATTATAACTCTCACTAAATGTTTTTATAAATAAAAGTTTATAATATGTTGTCATAGTTTACATTTCAATGCTTCATCATGCCATGAATAGATAATTATATCCGCTGTAATTCTGATCACAAGTTTATATTCCGCTGTTACATGAAATTGTTCATAACTCTGATAATATGATTACATTCCATTGTTATAATAATAAATATTGTAATCTGATGTTGTATTAAAAGTGATGTAAGAAATGGTTAAGAATGATGTAAGCTTTATTTGCTCATTTGTGATCCTAATGGAAAAATATGGATTTTTGGGTTCTCCCTTGGGGTGTGCCCGACGAAACCGCGTAATTTAGTGTTCTACCATTAGTGCTTAGTGTCTAATGGAAGACGAGCACTCCTGGGAGGCATTAGATTAGGTACCCCTTTGAGTTAGCTTCTGTGGAGTCACCGGACATGTCGGTGTGGCACCGGACATAGGGTGGCGGTGCCCCTCTAAAGGTCATCCAATGCACTAGCAATTGGGGCACTGGATAGGGGGTGGCGGTGCCACCCCGACCAACAACCTGAAAACCATGCTCTCTGGAAAAATGGGGCGGTGCACCACCATGGGGTGGCGACGACCGCGGCGGTGCCCAATTCCAGAACCCAAGCTCTCTGTTGAAAAAGGGTGGTGCCACCGAACAGGGGTGGCGGTGCCCCTAGCGGTGCACCGTCGCACCTAGGGCGGTGTACACCGTCACTGGCGGTGCCAGCCCTAGCTATAGCCCTTCTCGGCCATGTCTAGGTGGGCACCGCCCTAGGGGTGGCGGTGCCCCCCCAGAACACCTCCCTCTTGGCCTCCTCTATTGGTCACCACCACAGGGGCGGTGGTGCATCGGACATGGGGTGGCGGTGCCCCTAGGGCAGCACATCAAGCCCGATTTTGCCTTCTTTTTCACCTTTCGACTTCTTCTTTGCAAATGTGCTAACTCCACCAAGTGATCACCACCTTGTGTTCGTGTGTTAGCTTTTCACAATCATTTTTTCTAAAGGATTAGCACTCTTTTCTTAACGCCACTCGATCCTAACACGTATGTGAAGTTAGATCGCTCAAGTGGCACTAGATGACCGATATGCAAACAAGTTTGCTCCTCTTAATAGTACGGCCATCTATCCTATACCTAGTCATGCACTTCTCTACACAACCTTTGACCGGTGAAATATACCTTTGCCTCACGTATTCCATTCCATCTCCTTCATCGTTGATGCAACACATGCACCAACCAATCACCAAATGAAATGATCCACTTCATATCATCATGTGACCGTATTGGTTCATCGATCTTGACCTCACTTGCTTTTCACTGTTGCCTTCGTCCATCGACGTCAAGTCTTGCTCAAGCTTCACTGCCACGTGATCCATCACTCTAAAGTCTCCAACTTGCCCTTCACGCTTGCAACTAGTCCATCTAGCCAAGTCTTATCTTAATCTTCTTTACCTTAGTCACATGACTCAATGTCATGTCTCATATGCAATGAGCTCTTTCATCACATGTGTTAGCCTTGTAACAAATCCAAGATATTTCACCTCCATGGCATGTATTGCTCACACACATGTACCTATGGACTAATCATCTGTGTATCTTATATTTAAACACATTAGTCCAATTACCAAAACCAAACAAGGATCTTTCACCATCTCATAGTTTTTTTTTTCTCAAAACAAGATATTAATAATAGACAGGGATGCATATTTATATAGGTATTTTTGATAAAGACATAAAAGATAGTGGAAATTTAGGAAGTCATGAGAGCTACCTACATGCTTGAGAGGCATGGCAAGTTCAGATGAGGCATCTAAAAAGCACGTGAATTGATCTGATATGTGACCATGTAGGTCACCACCCATTAGGGCACCTCCAAAAGTTAGCTCTAAGGGCACGATTGGTTGCCTGGGTACACCCCCAGCCTTGCCACCCGCATGCATTTAGATGCGATTGGTTGCCTGAACAACCATCGGAGCCTGGCCTGTCCGATGCAATGAGATTAGAGTGAGTGATATTGTTAAGAGTACCTTTGATGTATGTGTTTGTAACTTTGTATTGAGATTTTAGAAAAGGACTATCTATGTTCACATTATTCAAGATATATTATTCTTAGAGAGGAAATGCTTATAATGAAATGATTGGAATTTCTAATTTTTTTTACTGAAATATGGAATCATTACTTTCTTTTTTTTCCCCTCAAGTTTTAAGCCAAACCTTAACATATACTCCGTATATATATTATAGTAAACTGAAGTAGAAAAGGCGCAAGCGCAACAGAGTTGGGATGATCCAGGTTGGAACTCGGAAGTGAAGATGAACGTATCACTTTTCAGGTAAGCTCACAAAGTAGGCTAGACAAGCAAACGTCTTGTCCTTATTCCTGTCAGGCGGTTACACACTTTCGTCCGTGTAACGTGTAATAGGCACTTCAAAAAATTTAATGGGGAATGATCCATTCCATCTCTAAACTCTGTTTATAACCAATATAATATAATAAAGATGTTTTACCGTCCAAAAAAAAGGAGTAACGCTGTGATGGTATATAAAAATCACAAAACACAGAAGTAGGTGTCCACAAAAAGCTAGAGAAGAAAAGAAAAGTTCCAGTACTAGTACTACTGCTACGTTGTACTAGCAGCGTCGACGACGACAGGCAAGCTGAGAGAAGCCCATGGGCCGCTTGCTGTCGCCGGCTGCCCCGACGCACTCGCCCGATGCACGCGGCCGGCGCCTCGCGAGCCACGCGCGCCCGACACGACACGATCACACGATGATACGTGCGAGTGTCGAGCGGGCTGGCCAGCCCAGCCAGCCAGCCAGAGCTGCGAAGCGCAGGAACCGAAACGAACGCCCAAGACGCGTCCCCACTCCCTTCGCTTTCCCTCAACAATCCTTTTTCCCTTTCCATCTCCCGCGTCCCGCCCCCGCCCCCGCCGCCGCCGCCACCAAGTTCCATCTGCAGCCGGAGCGGCGGCTGTGCTTTCTCTCGTCATTCGTCACACCACCAACCACTCCGCTAGCCACCACCACCACGGCCGCCACTTTCCTGCCGTGGCCTCGTCGAGGTTCCTCCTCAACCTCAACGCCGCCACTGCACCACCCATCGATCCCAAGTGCGAACCCCTCCTCCCCTCTACTCCCTCTATCTACAATCTGCTTGCTGTTGCGATCATCGTCATCCCATCCGTGCCGCGTCTTCTGTTGGCTCGCTTTCTTCAGACTACAGGCACCACTTGTATCGCGACATTTCTTTCTTTCTTTCTTTTTCTCCCCTTTTCACCTCCAATATTGTTAGGGTTTACGATCCGCAGGTATGCCCCAGCACTCACTCGCCAATGCAAGTCTCAGCGCTTGTGGATGATTTGGATCCATGTGGTTTGGTTCCGGTTCCACCACCGTGCTCTGCGCCACAATCGTTGCCTTTGCCTTTTGCTTTGTTGATTGATTGATACGTGCTTGTTCTGGCTCGTTAACTGCAGATTTGGTGCTCTGCGTTGCAGATATTTTAAGTTTCGTCGAACCAGTTTCTTCCAGAAAATAAAAACTTGTGTTTGGACCACAATTGTTTGTTCCTTGGTTGTTTCGTTGAAATAAAGCGGGGGAAAGCTTTTCTCCAAAAAAATTGTTTGTTCCTTTGTCCGTTTACTGTTCTAAAAAACTGATACTCCTACAGCATCACTTTTGTACTTTTCTGTACTTGCTGTGGTCTCCACCCTTTCCACCCTTTTTCATTAGCCTTTCTTGTAATAAAATTTATTTCTTCCTTCGGTTGAACACCGGATTTGTTTTGTTTTATTCTGACCCGTTCATAACCCACTTGTCATTCACCAAGTGTCATCGTAATCGAGAGTCAATCTTTCGAGTGTAATTTTTGCAATTTTTTCGGCTTCCTTCTACCGTTAAAATTAATTTTGACATCCTGCCACCTCACTGTTTGTACTGTGTAGCCTGTATATAACTAATTGAATGTCAGTGACAGCCGATTCTCACTCGTTTTCACCTGTGTGCGTGTGCAAGGTCCGTCGGAATGAGGCAGGAGGGGCCCCTGCTGTCAGTTAGGCATGATGCTGCTGGCTCCATGGCAGGAGCTATCTTCATGTCCAACACCATCACAAGGGAGCAATGCTTCCAAGCAGGCATTTTCGGTCTACCCTTGGAGTATCGATCCTTTGTCAGCCATGTCAGAAAAGGGTTGCCTTTGTTTCTCTTTGACCATACTCTGCGTAAGCTTTACGGGGTCTTTGAGGCTGCCTCTGATGGAGGGTTCAATATTAACAGTACCGCATTTCGGTTGATTCACCTCTCATATCCTGCGCAGGTAATTCACAGTTAATATGTGCCTCTTGGTTAATCCTACTTTTGTCAGTTCAGATCCCTTTTAAACAACAATGCATTATGAGGGTGGTTGTGCTAAGTTGAACTCGCTAAAACTGGGAATACTGTAATCTGTGTAAAACCAAGAACTGAATCTTGACAATAAATACCTTGGGGTTCCTCTTGTTAATAAAATTATGACGGAACTAGGAATAGAAGTGCCCACATCGCTTTTCATGTCTATGACTTTTAATTTGCACATTAGATACATCAGCTAAGATATACTCGATCTTGGACAAAGCTGCCTGATGAAGATAAAAACAACTATTCGTTTGGTTTTTGAGCTGTTCTTTACTCCCTCTCTAGGTTCGCATCAATATTATTTGGAAGTGCAAACCACTTAGTGAAGATGAGTTTTTTCCTGCTATAGAAGACAACTACTATCAGCCAAGGAAGTTCTACTTTGACCTTTCATATGAGCAGGTTTGCTTCACTACTGCTTTGCTACATGATGTTAGAAATGCACCTTCTGATAGCACAGCTATGACAATGGAAACTTCTTCTGACTAGCAGGTTGTTCGGCTTTATGAACTGTTTGATGACAAGAGGGTAGGACGCCCTATTCATGACTATCCACAAAATGAGTGTTTGCAAACAAACTGCTCCAGCAAAGGGATACCTGACAAAGAAGACTCCAGACCCTCCTCATTCCAGTAATCAATTGCCCCTTTTGGTTCCCAACATTTCAGAAGTCATAAGATGTTCTACTCCTACAAGAATGCACACAGATTTACCACTTAATGTTGAGGCACACCAGGACATGCCGATGCCCTTAGGAGCTGAAATTAGTGGAGCTCAAATTGCTCCCACCTGCAGCTCCCATCATGACCAAATAGAACCTTTTTCTCAAAGAGAGTTTTTCCCAGCTGCTTCAGTGCCTGATGCTGTTTCAACTCAAGTATCTGCCCCTTGCTCTGAAACTACTAGGAACTACCAGTTGGTTGGGCAATCACATCCATTACCACACAACTATCCACAGAATATCTTGCCTGCTGGATTTACAGCCCAGGGCCCAATTGAAGGATCTAAATTTGTTGCAAACCAATCGTATCCATTATGCCGTGGTCATATGCACAATGGCTTATTAACTTCTGGATATGGAACTCAAAATCCAACTTACAAAGGGATGAATCACTTGAATTCAACTTTTCCTCCGTATGACCGATTATATCCTCGTTTGCCAATGTTGAACCCACAAAGTAACTCTGACTATCAGGGTCAATGTGACATCTGCTTCAACCAAGGCCGCCCTGATACACATAATGGCATACATGCATATGAGCGTCAGTGTTTAAGTGAAGGAGAAGTGCTAACAATGGAGGAACTGAACCAACAAGATATTCCCACATGCCCACAAGTTATTGGATGTGATGGGAAAACAGTATCAGCAATTCATCGGCAGAAGATGAGTTCTATTGATTACATTCAGATCCCTGATTGTGATGAAGACTTTGAAAATGATCAGATGAAACATGGTACCCATGGCAATGCCTCAGATTCATCAGATGTTGAAAATGGTATTGTTGATCCACGATATACACAACATACTGTAGGAGCTGAAAACGACACAAAGGATCAGTGTAGCCTGCCAATAAAAGGTGTATTTTCTCGTTTATCAGTGAGGAAGCAACTGACTTCTCAAGAGGCCACTGGTCCCACGCTCAAGCAATTGGTTTCTTCTCTTTCTCGGAAGACAGAACAGTGGAGACACAAAAATAGACCAATTGAAGATGGTCTTATTATTCCGTTGATCGGGGAGCATGCTGTGGACTGTTTTCATGCATCGCTGAACCAGCTGAGTCAACTAGATCTGGAAGAAGACGTAAGCATAGAGCCACAACTTCCCTTCTTGAACTTCAAGAGATGCAGTGAAGCAGGGAAGGCGTATGCAAATTTAGGAAAGGAGATCAGTGGGAAAGGGAAGAGAAGAAAGCTTGTGCGTCCTTCCTTTGAAGAAAACAATGCTTCTTCAAATGTTGGAGAACAGCTTAAAGGAAATTGCATACAGGACAGGAATCAAAACCATCAGGGAAGTGAAAAGCATTTTTACATTGACCTAAACATACCTGCAGCACCAATAGACAGCAATCCAGGGGAGGTTGACTGTGGGGGGTTATGTTCCCGGAAGAGTGACCATCTCCACTCGTTGGAATTTACACCAACAGCTTCTCGATACAGCCTATGTTAACCATGGAATCGTGCACCGTCTAATGCAAGATTTTCATTAAACTTCTGTGTTTATTTACATGTTTCCTACTGTTTATATCCTTCCATGTGCTACTGCAATCTTAATGACAAGAAATTTTAGTTCCATGCACTGTCTAATGCAAAGATTTTCGTTAAACTTCTGTGTTTATTTACATGTTTCCTACTGTTTATATGCTTCCGTGTGTTACTGCAATTTTAGTGACAAGAAATTATTGAATTTTCTGCCAGGCCACTTTTATTTTTATGTTTCGTGTATGACAGAGGATGTTGAGATTACAGATTAACACATCTAAACATGGTCAGACATGATTTTCTGAGCAGTGAGCACGGGTCACGGTCATTAAGCTTGAAAAACATATCACTACACCTGACCAGGGCAACTGATATAACAAAAGATGTACAACATTTGGGCCTCATCTCGTGAAGCTTTGCCCTCTGTTTTTCGTCCTACCTATTTCTCCTGTTCTATGTCAGAGGACCACCTTATGTTACTGTATAATTTCTCCCGAGTCGAAGATAACTTTATGTACATTTAACATTTCACAACATGAGCATCATCTCACAGAACCTCCTGGTGTTGTTGGACTTGAGGGCGTTCGTGGGATGACAAACCGGTCGACAATGCGCACCGCATTGATTGGGTCCAGGCCCGACACGGCCCTCCATTTGCTTGGGAACTTCCTGGTGTAGCTCATCTGGAATGGCTGCTTGGGTTCCATGTCCCAGTCTGGATCCAGCATCCAATCCTTTGGCACCTGGTTCATTCACAAAACTGAATCATTTTACAGAATGTTTGTATCAAAAAAATCATTTTTACAGAATGGCGGCATAGTTGTTTTTTTGTGAAAAGTGTTGAAGTCAGTGAGCTTCTCACCTTGTCCACGGCCAGGGTGAAGACCTCAAGGTCTCCATTTTTCTTGATGTGGAACCGTGTGAATGCCTTATAATTTGCTATGCGCAGCGAGGAGAAGGCCTCGTCGAAATGGATATGGAACCAGTTTATGCATAAATATAAGTAGCTCCCAAACACCAGCGATACGACAGGTGTTGACAAGACCCAGAAGTAAAGGAAAACACAGACGTAATAGATGATGGCACCTCCCCGGGGAAGGGACTCTATTCCTTTTCTGCAGATTGTACTTCTAGTTACTGCCATAACCTGAAAGAGAGCATATATGGCATAAGTGGCAAATAGCACCAACAAACAGAAATGATCTCATTATTATATGGCTTACAAAAATGAAAGAATAACCTCTGGGATGTCGAATGCAGACATGAGGTACTTAATACATGCAGGGTAAAGACCAAAGGTCCAATGCTCGAGACGAGCGCGAAGTCCTGTGGGATCAGGAAAATGTTCGCTTTCCACTTTTCGGTACCATTCATAAAGGGTATGGTAGCCTGAGAACAAGTAAAGCAACAATTCCATTTTACATTGTGGATGACAGGAACATAATAACACACGAGGCCACCTCAAAGAACATACAGCTGTTGCAAGCTACTACACTATCCAGAGAATATAGGACAGGTCATGAATCATACTGCTCTTCTGCAAATTATGGTTGAGCTTTCTTTAAGAAGAATTGTTTAGCCATGTAAGAATCAAAGTTGTAGTGTTACAGGATCTGACTGGAAAGAAAATAACTTGAGCACTTGTGACACTATAATCTTATACTTAAGGGTTCAAGGCAAACGACCTAGAATGATATATGTTATTAGGCAACGATGCACACAAAAAAAAAATGAGAGATGAAAGGTTAGGAGAGAAAGACAAACCTGATGTTGCTAATAGATGGTTGCGAATGCAGATTTCAATAGCTAATTCCATAAGTAGCATCAGTAGCACTGCCGAAGTAAGATGAGCAGCGGCATGAAGAAAACCAAGCAAAACACGTCTCCTACGAGACAGTTTTGTGGGTACAAAGAAAAATGATACCATCAATAGAGTAACAACACCACCTAGGGACACATAGGATCGCTCTAGAATCTCAAAAACAGCATTCCACATTGCACTGAAGAAACCATTGATACGACCAGCCCAGGAGTCTTCATGTAAGATGCGAAACGAATCACACTGGATAGCAGAACATATTTGCATCAGGCCACAGATAGGACTGAGTAATTTATTAGTGCTGGTGCAATATGTCAGTATCCACAGATTAGTAATGTAGTATATTTCTGCTTTACCTTCATTATATTATTACCTTCATTATATTATGTTATAATATCATTCGCTATCTGTGCGACCAGAATATTACCCCATTTGTTAAAGCAGAAATATAATATAATATAATATAATGAAGGTAAAGCAGAAATAAACTACAAATTTGTGGGAGGACAGAAAATTGATGAGTGTAATCCTCTAGTACCAAAAAAATTTAAAGATCACATGAGATAAAGATAAGGGTGTGTGCTGTACTAAGGGTTCTTTACCCCATATTTCTTCTTAATACAATGAAGCACAGCTCTCCTACATTTTCGGGAGAAAAAGTGAATGTAAAACAATAATAACAACAACAACAGCAAAGCCTTTAAGTCTCAAACAAGTTGAGGTAGGCTAGAGTTGAAACCCAGCAGAAGCAATCAAGGTTCACGCACGTGAATAGCTGTTTTCCAAGCACTCCTATCTAAGGCTAAGTCTTTGGGTATATTCCATCCTTTCAAGTCTCCTTTTATTGCTTCTATCCAAATCAACTTCGGTCTTCCTCCGCCTCTCTTCACGTTACTATCCTGACTTAGGATTCCACTACGAACCGGTGCCTCTGGAGGTCTCCGTTGGACATGTCCAAACCATCTCAACCGGTGTTGGACAAGCTTTTCTTCAATTGGTGCTACCCCTAATTTATCACGTATATCATCGTTCCGAACTCGATCCCTTCTTGTATGACCGCAAATCTAACGCAACATACGCATTTCCGCGACACTTATCTGTTGAACATGTCGTCTTTTCGTAGGCCAACATTCTGCACCATACAACATAGCAGGTCTAATCGCCGTCCTATAAAACTTATCTTTTAGCTTCTGTGGTACCCTTTTGTCACATAGGACACCAGATGCTTGGCCACCCTGCTTTGATTCTATGGCTAATATCTTCATCAATATCCCCGTCTCTTTGTGGCATTGATCCTAAATATCGAAATGTATCATATACTTAGTTTTAGTTCTACTGAGTCTAAAACCTTTGGACTCCAAAGTCTCCCGCCATAACTCCAGTTTCTGATTCACTCCTGTCCGGCTTTCATCAACTAGCACTGCATCGTCCGCGAAAAGCATACACCAAGGGATATCCCCTTGTAGGTCCCTTGTGACCTTATCCATCACTAAGGCAACAGATAAGGGCTCAAAGCTGACCCTTGATGTAGTCATATCCTAATCGGGAAGTCATCTGTGTCTTCATCACTTGTTCGAACACTAGTCACAACATTATTGTACATGTCCTTAATGAGCCCGACATACTTCGTTGGGACTTTATGTTTGTCCAAAGCCCACCACATAACATTCCTTGGTATTTTATCATAAGCCTTCTCCAAGTCAATAAAAACCATGCGTAGGTCCTTCTTCTCCCTATATCGCTTCATAACTTGTCTTATTAAGAAAATGGCTTCCATGGTTGATCTTCCGGGCATGAAACCAAATTGGTTCATAGAGACCCGCGTTATTGCTCTCAAGCGATGCTCGATAACTCTCTCCCATAGCTTCATAGTATGGCTCATCAACTTAATTCTCCGGTAATTAGTACAACTTTGAATATCCCGTTTATTCTTGTAGATCGGTACCAATATACTTCTTCACTCGTCAGGCATCTTGTTCGATCGAAAAATATGGTTGAACAGCTTAGTTAGCCATACTATAGATATGTCCCCAAGGCATCTCCACACCTCGATTGGGATACCATCCGGTCCCATCGCCTTACCTTCTTTCATTTTCAACGCCTCTCTGACCTCAGATTCTTGGATTCTCCACACAAAGCGCCTATTAGTGTCATCAAAAGAGTCATCCAACTGAAAGGTTGTGTTCGTATTCTCACTATTGAACAATTTGTCAAAATACTCTTGCCATCGATGTCGGATCTCATCCCCCTTCACCAAGAGATGCTCCCTTTCATCCTTAATGCACTTAACTTGGTTGAAGTCCCTTGTCTTTCTCTCATGAACCCTAGCCATCCTATAAATGTCCTTTTCTCCTTCCTTCGTACTCAAATGTTGGTAAAAATCCTCGTACGCTCTACCCTTTGCCACACTTACAGCTCACTTTGCAGTCTTCTTTGCCACCTTGTACTTCTCTATGTTGTCCACACTCCTGTCATGGTACAAGCGTCTATATCATTCTTTCTTCTCCTTAATAGCCCTTTGGACTTTCTCGTTCCACCACCAAGTATCTTTAGCCTCGCCTCCACTTCCTTTGGTTACTCCACACACCTCTGAGGTCACCTTCCGAATGTTTGTTGCCATCTTCTCCCACATGTTGTTTATGCCCTCTTCTTCCTTCTAAGAGCCCTCTTTGATAACCCTTTTCCACGTCTACCCTTTCAATTTCCACCACTTTGTTCTTTCAATCTTAGCTTGTTTATCCCTACGGGGACGCACCTGAAAACGAAAGTCTACCACCAAAAACTTATGTTGAGAAACAACACACTCCCCTGGTATCACCTTGCAACCCAAGCATGCTCGTTTGTCCTTTCTTCTTACGAGGACAAAGTCAATCTAGCTAGAGTGTTGTCCGCTACTGAAGGTCACTAGATGAGATTCTCTCTTTCTAAATAAAATGTTGGCTATTGTCAGGTCAAAAGCTACCGCGAAGTCCAGAACTTCCTCCCCCTCCTGATTCCTACTACCATACCCAAAACCTCCATGAACTGCCTCGAAACCTACGCTTGTAGTACCTACATGCCCATTAAGATCTATAAAAAGCTTCCCACTACTAGGTACAGCTCTAATCAGGTCATCTAAGTCTTCCTAGACCTGTCTCTTAGCACTCTCG